ATGAGCCGTTTAACACCATGCTTTCCTCAGTGGTCCCGCCAGTAAAATGGGTGATACCTGGAAGAAGGCTTAGGGATCCCGGTGGGGTCATTGTCTTCAGGCATCCGTGGGCTGTAGGTGAAGGGCCTCATTTCAGCCTGCCAATGAAAGGGGTCCCAGGTGAGGCTTACCAGTGCTCTTGGGAGCTCCTGTGTCTGACCCAGCAAGTGGCTGGCAGAGGATCCCCTGCCTGAGTAGGGTGCCTATGGAACAGCAGGCCAACTTGGTCAGCCAGCTGGAGCTAGCAAACATCTGGCCTCATATCAGGAGTGAGCAAATGGCAGATACAGCCTGCGCAGGGCACTGCAGTACATGGAAGCACTGTGTCTCCAGGGCATAACAGTCCAGGTGGTGTGGGGGAACAGCCTGAAGACCCTGCCCGTGGCATTCTCCTGAAGGAAAACGGCAGTCTCTTACCCACCCTCCCGAGGGCTGATGAGGGTCTCAGGGACTGTGGCATGGTTCTGCAGGCCTGTGGTTTATCTCTGTAGGCCTGATGTTGGTTTGTGCAGGCTTTTTCCAAAACAGCATCAGAGTTTCCTAGACACTTTAACCTTCAGGAAGATCATAAACATGACAGTGTTTATCATTCCACCGGGCCTTTGGTGTTGAGTCGTGACTGGACAATGACAGGCAGAGATTGGGGCAGTAATGTCCATCTTGGTCGTAGGATGACCTTTCGGGAAGACAGTGGGAACATGAGCTTTTCCCTTCAGCATTCCATGTTTCTGTCCCTCTTACCTTTTGTCCTTTGTTTTCCATTTTAAAGTAGTTTGCACACTCAGCGTTTCACAGCTAGGGCTTCTGTGGGCTCAGAGCCAAGTGAGAAGCAGAACTCTGTCCTTCCATGTTGTTAACAGAGCGAGAGAGAGAGAGACAGAGAGAGAGAAAGACTCTATTTCAGATGATGTGATTATCCAGGCCACAGGCATTTTGGAGGAATTGCTGGGACCACATGGGAGGTTTGGGATCAGTGTTTGGGGGTGCCTGGAGGTTGTGTTCTGGCCCTGTGTCTCCTGCCCCTGTGTTTTTAGCATGGTGAGGAAGGACACGGCCTCAGGGCCAGGCTCCCAGGTGCCCAGCCAGCTCTGGCTGTCTCTGGCTGTGTTAACCTTGAACAAGTTGCTCAGTCTTCTGGGCCTCAGTGTGCTCATCAATAAAATAGTGTTGGTGGTCATCCCCTCCTTATGTGTATATTCTAGTAAGTCAGAAATCACTCAGAGCTCAGTGGCTGTTAATGACCATGGGCAAGAGCTATAGAGACTGTTCCTTCCGCATTGGCAGCGCCAACAGCGCATTGGCAGGCCAGTGGGACCAACAGGTGGCTGGCAGCTGCTGGCCACCCCAGCACACTGCAGGGGCTCCCGACTCTTATTCCACCTAAACTCTCCTCTGGCTCTCCCACTCCTCCTTCACCGTTAAGAGCTGCAAGCTTGGATGGCAATAATTCCACTCCACATTTACTAAGCTTCTTTTTCAGTGTGCTTTCCTGGTTCTTAATTTTTTTTTTAATTGGAAAGTCAGATACACAGAGAAGAGGAGAGATAGGAAGATCTTCATCCACTGATTCACTCCCCAAGTGGCCGCATTGGCCAAGTTGTACCTAGCCAAAGCCAGGAGCCAGGAGCTTCTTCCAGATCTCCCACGTGGGTGCAGGGTCCCAAAGCTTTGGGCCATCCTCCACTGCTTTCCCAGGCCACAAGCAGGGAGCTGAATGGGAAGTGGGGCTGCCAAGACTAGAACTGGTGCCCATATGGGATCCCAGCATGTGCAGGGCGAGGACTTTAACCACTAGGCTACTGCGCTGGGCCCAGTTCTTAATCTTAATCTTCTCATCTTTGCAGTGAGGCAGTTTCTCCCATTTTCAAATAAGGAAACAGGTCTGAGGGACAGATTATTAGTCACGGTCTTGAGGCTGGATAACTCAGGTCACCTTGCCATTTCCTGCTAGGATAACAGACCCCAGGTTATTTCTTGGGCCTCCTCAGAATGAAACAAACATGCAGAAGTAGCTGCAGGGGGTAAGGACTTTAGCTCAAATAGAAGTCTCTCACTGTCCAGGGGTGATATGTCCCACCTTCCTCCTTTGTCCTTGGTGAAACATCTGAGCCTCATCCCGGTCTCCACTGCTGCTGTATGACCTTGCACGATGCAGGCCTTGCTGGAGCCCATGTCCTCTGCACCCCGGGGGATCACTCAGCAGCTACGCATTATGACCCTTTTGTTTGCTAGGACACAGAGACCCGATGACTTCTGTTTGTAGACCCTCTCTAGACCACCTGCTTCCCAGCAACTTAGCTGTGATTCAGCTCCTTCTCCTGCACTTCTCTCTGAGTTAGCAGCAAAGGAAGTAGCATGTGGCGTGCAAGGCTTGTTATTGAAATCCAATGACTTGAGCACTTCATAGCGACAATGTCGGGCTCTGGAGTTCCAGGGCCTGCTTTGGGGCACATCATCCTCGACAGCTGTCAGCCAACAGACAGGTGCTACCTTAGCAAGCATGAAGGACAAGCAGCCTGTCGCCATCTCAAGTGTTGAGAAGCCTTGGCCCTTTGAGTTGGGAGACAAGTGTGAATGCAGAGACACTTAGGTTTTCTATGAGATTCAAGTCTGCACCTCATTTCTCTAGCACATGTCGATACTGCATCTGTGCATTGCTAAAGTGAGTTAAAAATCATCTGCCGTGGTGTGGAAGGTTAAGCTGCCACCTGCAGTACCAGGATCCTGTGTGGATGCCGTTTCACCTATCAGCTGTTCTACTTCTCATGTTAATGCATCTGGGAAAGCAGAAGAAAATGGCCCAAGTCCTTGGGACTCTGCATCCACATAGGAGACTTGGAAGAAGTTCCTGGCTCCTGGCTTCGGGTAGGCCCAGCTTTGGCCTTTGCTGCCATGTCGGGGAGTAAACCAGTTGATGGAAGAGCTCTGTTTTCTTCTGTGTGAGCATGTACCCTACCTTTCAAATAAATAAATCTCTTTTTAAAAATTAACAGAGGGTATGGCGTGGTAGCGTAAGGGCTAAAGTCCTTTTCTTGCACATGCTGGGGTTCCATGTAAGTGCTGGTTCTAATCCTGGCAGCCCTGCTTCCCATCCAGCTCCCTGCTTGTGGCCTGGGAAAGCAGTTGAGGATGCCCAGAGGCCTTGGGACCCAGACCCATGTGGGAAACCTAGAGAAAGCTCCTGGCTCCTGGCTTTAGGTTGACGCAACTCTGGCCAATGCGACCACTTGAAGAGTGAATCAGTGAATGGAAAATCTTCCTCTCTGTCTCTCCTCTCTGTATATGTGATTTTCCATAAAAATTTTTTTAAAATCTTAAAAAATAATTAGAGCCATCTCTGCCAGAAAGCTGGGTATGCTCCCTGGTTTCTTTTTTGGTGTCCTAATTTTGTTATTAATGGATTTGTAACAGATGAGAAATGTGGCCCTGCTTAAAGCTTGACCACAGCATTCAGGTCAGGGGAATGGGAACTCTGCCATGGAGAGAAGGGTTCGTTTTGCCTACGTTTTTGAGAATTGAGTGTTCTGTATTATCCTATTGGTCTCACAGCATTGGCAATAAAAAAATGAGGATGTGGGGTTCCAAGTACAGCGTTCTTACCGACTCATTCGGCCTCTGAATGTCTTCCTATCTTCCCATCCTCCCAGACTCACTACCCAGGGTCAGGAGGCAACCACACCAAGGATGCCAAGGAGGGCATGAGTCCCTCCCGTGTTCTGGGTCTCTAGCATTCAACTTGCATACACAGAGTGTGTCCTGGTGCGTTAGAAGCATTGCTGATGTCATCATTATCACAGTCTAAGGCTCTGATGGGAAAGTTGGACTGAAAGGAAAGAACAGAGCTAAATCCTCACAGTCATGAAGAGATGGGCCATGTGTGGAAGGCTGAAGCAGGGGACAGATACAGCAGCCACCCTCGTCACAAAACAGAGAGTCTACAATACATGCACTTAGATGTAGGCTTTGCCATGTTGGTGGATCTTTTTGGTAGAATTTACATAGAAAAGAAGTGGTTCATTTGAAAAACATTTTAATAAATAGTTCAGATGATCGCATTGTCTGGGACTGGGCCAGAGTAATGCCAGGAGCCAGAAACTCCAACTGGATCTCCAACTAGGATGGCAGAGTCCCAGGTACTTGGGCCATATTCCAATGCTTCCTGTGATGCATAAGCATGGAGCTGAATCAAAAGTGGAGTAGCTGGAACCAGAACCTGCGCTTATAAAGGGTGCCAACCTTAAAGTAGTGATTTAACCCCTCTGTGCCACAGTGCCAGCCCCACAGGATTAGTTTTCTTTAATACGGTGTTCAACTCAAAAGATTCTCAAGGAAAAATTCACCAATACTGATAAAGTCTTATAAAACTTTCTGGTTGTGTAAACCCCCTGGAACTTCCTTAGAAATAATATGGTAGGATCTCCAACCTGCCCACATTCCTGCAGGGATGCTGGTCTGATAGGTAGCTATGATTCAGTAGCATCTGAAAGTACCTAGAGGGCCAGCCAATGCTCACACACTGCACAAAGGACAGCTGCTTTGGCATTGAAGGAGGCGATAGGTGTGCAGGGTGAGGAGGGTGCAGGTGCATCTGGCTGGAACAGGTGGTAAACTCTTTAGCCTTTAGAAGCTGGTTATTCACATGCCTGCCCATCCCATTGAGAAGGGGTGTAAGAAGCCTTAAAACTGAAATCTGTGTCAGTGACATCTTTTAATTGTTTGTTAACAGGGGGCATAAAAGTGAAAGTTGGAAGGCAACAGCTATGATTTAAAAAAAGAAAGAAAGAAAAAAGACCAAAAATTTTGAGTGACTTAATGAAGGGAAGTCTGGCCTGGGGTCTTTGTAGATTTCTGTTCTCCACATTGACTCTGATGCCACATGCTAGTCGTTCAAGTGTACCTATGTCTTCTGGATCTCCTGGGTTTGGAGTAGACCTTTCATCCTGTTCTCTCTTCTCTTTCAGGTTTCAAGTGCCCCATTTGCTCCAAGTCTGTGGCTTCCGATGAGATGGAAATGCACTTTATAATGTGTCTGAGCAAACCTCGCCTATCCTACAATGGTAAGGGCTTGCATTCCCAGCCTTGGAGGGGGGCGGAGGCGGTGGGGCTCTGTGGAGCATCTCCATCCTGCCCACCTTCCAGAAGGGATGCTGGCCTCATAAGGAGATGGCTGTTCCAGGGAGCAGGGCACCTGGAAGATCCTGGGTAGCTCAGTTCTCTGCTCTTCACACCCATGGTCCTGTGCGAAGAGCAGACACAGGACAGACACAGCCATTCTCTCAGCCATCTTGCAGCCCTGCCCATGCTGGGTCCCAACACAGCTGGCCTCTCTCTAGGAGTCAGCCGAGAGGCTGAAGGAAGCAGCTGTCTTCCTCAGGGTGTGCTGGGAGGATGCTCAGGAAGCCGGGGAGCCTGGGCAATGCCTTGCTTTGCAACTCAGATTAACACCTGCAGCTGCTTGGCAGAAAATTTGAAGGACTATGTGCAATGGTTGTCATCCCTTGGAAGTACAATGCTGGCACCCCCTCCTCCAAGGCTTACCAGGGCTTTCTGCAAGGCTGCCTCAGAACTGAGCAGGGTCATGGGGCCAAGGAATCTGTGACACCCATTTCATACCTCTGGTTTCAGACAAGAGTGTGGCGTGCCGTGAGGAAGCATTTGAATTCTCTCTGGTATGAATGGAAACATTCCCACCACTCACTCATTGAGTCTCGAATGAGTTGCCCTGCTTTATGGAGCTTTGATTTTCCAATCCAAAACTGGGGGTGCCACTACCTCATTCTCAGGGCTGTGGAGAGTGGGAAGGGCAGGGCACCATGATCGGCATGTAGGAGGATGAAGCTGTCATCATAGGCAGTGAGATCTAGGAACACTATTTGCTTTTTTGAGTGTTTGTTTATTTTCATTACTTGAAAGGTGGAGAGAGAGACAGAAAGAGTGAAAGCGCTTTCATCCACTGGCCAAGCCCCAAATACCCACATCAGCCAGGGGTGAGCGGGCCAGGTCAAAGCCAGGAACCCAGAACTCCATGTGAGCCTGCCATGTGGATGGCAGTGGCCCAAGCCCCAGAGCCATCAGCCAGTGCGCATCAGCAGAGACTGGATTGGAAGAAGAGCATCTGGGACTGGAGCCAGCACTTTGATGGGAGGCGGGCATCCCAAGTGGGTGCATACCCCATGATGCCACAGGTTTTCCAAATAGGCCAATGTTGCCCCATTCTACTCAGCCCACGCTGCTGGGGTAACATATCTGTCCACTCTACTGGGTTTGTTCTCTAATGCATGTTCCTCAGAGGTCGGCCATGTGTCCAAGTGTGCCACTAGCCGCCTTAGAGTGAAGTCTGGTCAGGAAGAGAATTTGGAATTTCTTAGAAATCTGAGGACTGGCATGTGACCACCCTCCCCACTCCCTCCTCCTGACTACACACATCTCCTCAGACGGGCCCTGGCTCTTGCTGCATGGGTTTCTCAGCCCCCCTGGGTGGGCTGCTTTCCCCACAGGGGCTCGTGCTTCCAGCATGCTTCCAGGAATGAATCTGAGGAATCTGATTCCCAGCTGGCCTGGAAACACATCTTTGTGTTATCTCATGGTCACTTATCCAGTCAAAAGATTCCAGATGTGGAAAGGCACATCACCCACTTCTCTAAGCTGTGTGCAGTCTGACAGTGTCCATTCAGATGGGAGGCCTGGCCCCATCACAGTCCCAAGTGTGTGCCTCCCCTTTGTATCTTGTCTGATATCCAGGCAGTTCCTTTCCTCCCTAGAGGGCAGCCTCCCTGTCCATGCCGCATTCCTGAATCCCCTGTGGAGTCAGAACCCCTATCAGCCTGTGTAGGTGCCATCTGCTGTAGATGCCCAGGCACCCGCCTTGTCCTCCTCAGCCGCCTCAGGGAGAGCCATCTTCCTGCATCTCCCAGGCTTCCCCAGTTGTGGCCTCAGATGCTGTATTCACTCCTTCATCAAGTGTGTGGAGATCTCATGAAGACTTCTTTTTGTCCCTTGGGTTCTTGGGGAGACTTCTTTACAGACACTGCCCTTGCTGTGAAAGAAAACAAAGTTGCCTCAGAAGGGCTGTAAGCAAGAGGCCTCCTTGGCTCTTGGAATCATTGGGGAAAGCTTGGCAAGAGCAGCTGTGTGGGAGAGAGTGCTCCTGGCTGCTCAGGTCAGAAGGAAGACCTTGCAGCCCCTTGGGGAGCCACCTGGGACAGCCCACATATGTCCTGGTGCTCCTAGGAGTCAGCACTTGCAGGTCACTGTCCTCCCCATTGACAGCCCGGGGGAGACTCCAGGTGGCCAGTCCAAACCCCCTACTAAAACCACCCTGGTTCAGGCCACCTCAGGAGAAGGCATGTTAACCACCTGTGTGAGCCCAGCCTTCCCCGCCAACCCTGTCCATTCTACCCCTGCTCACTGTTGGTCTCCCAGTTTTTCCTCTGGTCCCCCTGGTCCTTTATTCTGTATGTTTGGTGTGTGTGTGTATGTGTTGACCTACCCCATTTGACAACAGCATCAGCTGTGTGTGTTTGTGTATGAGTTGTGTGGTGCGTGTGTATGTTAACTTTTCCCATCAGACAGTGTTGGCACCTGTGTCCATATGTGGAATGAAGCCTCTGGAGTGCACCTGGAGCCTGGTCTGTCTTGGGACCACTGGTGGGAGCTTCCAAACAGGAGCTCAGGTTCAGTTGGTTTTTCCTACTGTAACCTGTCTCACTCCTGATTTCTCATCAGCCCAGCCTCACTTGCTTCATCTTCCTGTCCCTTATAAAAAGTGAGGGATGGGCAGCGGGGAGGCCTGAGCTCCTGGAATCCTTCTGGAAAGGGCAAGGTGAGGTTTTTTCAGAGGGTCCTGAGAGAAGCTCTGCTTTCTTGTTTCTGAGGATTTGTGAGAACTTACTAGCTGGGTACCCCCTGTCTACACTCCCACACTTTCCACAGTTGCTGGCACCAGTTGGGCAAGTTTTTGGAAGATTTACGATGGTTATGTAAGATGAAATTTAGTTAACCACCAAATGGAAAAAAGTAGAAACCTCCCAAAAGAGGCAGATAGAAAGTAGTATTTTTCTTATTAAGAAAGTTGGCCTGAGCCTGCAGTTGGAAGCCTCCAGGAGCTGTCTGCCAGATGTTGTGTTTAAAAAAAAAATCTTCAGAAGACTAGTTTAGCTGGTTCACCCAATGCACCACAACAATGTGAGGGCCCCACACCTGCGCTCAGCACCTGTCTGGGGGGCTGGTGAATACCCAGCTGCTATCAGGGAGCAGGGAAGGGCATGGACCCTGAAACACTGACTCTTAGATGCTTTGTGCCCCTTCCAAGGGCCGCTGCCCAGGGAGAAGTCACCTTGATTGGGCTTTTGCATTTCTCTCTCTCCCCCAGCATCTGTTGTGGCTGAGACTGGTTGGGTTGGGGGCAGAATTAGGAGGGGACCAGCCATGAAGGATGTGCGCTCAGATTCCAACCCACAAATTGCTGGGGCAGCAAAATAAATGCCTGTAATGAGGATGTGACTTTGAGTGGAAGAGAATCTCTTTTGGCATCTTGCAGGTGACTATCAGTGGATGGTCTGGGGCTGAGCCAGGCGTGGCCAGCTCTGGCAGGGAGTCCGGTAGGGACAGGTAGGTAACTGGCCAGCAGAATCCAGCCAAGCCGGGTGGTGGTCTGTGCAGCTTGCCCTCAGCCCTGCTCTGTACACCTCAGAGCCCACACCTGGCTCTGTGGGGCATGATGTCCACCCTCCCTGCTAGCTCCCTGCAGGTGGTGTCTGCTCTGTGTCTCCTGCCCTCAGATCCCCGTGTCACAGTGGGAGTGTCCTGCCCTTTACGTGGAAAGCCAAGTCCTCACCAAGCTATTAGTCTAACCCGGTGTGGAGCTATTGTTAAGTGCTGGACTCGGGTAGTTGCAGGGGTGTCTAACTTAGTGCTGCCCTGAGAGGGGAGCGGGGGTGGTGACCCACTCAGGCTCCCAGCCACTGCCGACCGGGTGCACTGACCACCAGATTGGCCACCCCTGGGCACCTGCAGAACAAGAAAGAGGGAGAGAAGGACACCTGCAGGGCTTGAGCGCTGTGGGAAAATTACAAAGGAGCTGGAGAGGAGCATTTGGGACTATGGGGACCTCTCACATGAAGCTGTCCCAGGCTCACAGCCCCCAGGCTGGTCTCTTTGCAGCCCAGTGCCCACCCACAGCCCTGACACCCTGAGATGGTGAAACTGGGAGGGCAGTGACACTGTGTTCATGGTCAGTAGAACACCCCAAGAAAGGAGCCATGAAGCTTGGTCTTTGTGGCACTCTCTTGTCCTGCCCCCTGGCAGACAGGCCAGCAGCTCTGCACCTGATAGACTGGGTGCCTTACCACCTCTCAGATGGAAATGAGGCCAGGAGGCAGGGCCTGGGCCTTGTGCTGGCCAGGGGTTCTCTGTGGAATGCGTTGTCAGAACTCTCTGTAGCGCAGCTAAGCCCTGCCATGCTGGAACCACTGAGCCTGACCTGCCCACTCCAAGCACAGTCACTATCTAGGATATGGGTGCTGGTTTCCATCTGACTCAGCCCCTTGGGGAAGTCAGGCAGGATAGCCACGTGGAAGGACCTGGGCTTGGGAAGCATGACCGCTGAGGACCCATTCTCCCACACCCCTCCACAGTCCCCAGGACTCCAGGAAACCATCTAGGAGGCTCCTGGCCAGTGAGTGGCCCAAAGCAGAGAGAGCTTTCATTCCTCCTGCTTGGCTTTTCTGGGATGTGTAGCAGCTGTCGGAAGTGCTGCCACCCCCAATCTCGTCACCTCCCACCCTGGTGTCAACACCTCTCTTTTGGACTCCAGAGCCCTGCCCTGCCCTCTGCCTTGGCTCCTTGGTCTGGTTGAAAGGACATCACCAGTACTGTCTAGCAGCCCTTTCAGGCCAAGCACACCTCTCTAAGCAGCACTTGGCTGGGTTTGTTCCCTGGGAGCAGGAAGCCTGGAGGGCCTTGAGGCACTGAGAGAGAGGAGAATGTGCAGCCTTCATGCTGAACATTGATCTCATCAGCCAGCATTTGTAGAGCCCCTCTGGGGAAGCCTGGGCACACCACAGGTGTCTGAGTCAGACTCCCCTCCAGCAGCAGGCAGTGGTGCTCACCTCAGGTCAGTGCGGGGGTCTTGAAGGAACCAGTTGGAAGCCAGGCTGCAACCATTTCTCCCTCCCTGCTGGGATCCTGGAACATATGGAGGCTGCTGATGGCCAAGGCCTGAGGAGAGGAGACAGGCAGTTCTGCTCCATGTGCACTGGGTGAGGTAAGCAGTGAGCACTGCTGACTGCATATGTGACCAGGAAAGGGCTGCTTCCAACCTGGAGCAGTGCAAGTGAGTCCTGAAGGGTATGGACCTTCCACCCTAGGCCAAGGCAATGTCTCACCCTTGTGCTCTGCCCTCTCTCCTTCGCTTGTAATATCAAAATAGGAACATCAGATCCAGGAAGAAAGCCCCTGAGCCTCATCTCCCCAGCGCCCCCAGTCCCACCCCGCCCCCATCCCCACATCCATCACTCCAAGGGTCACAGGTCCCATCCTGGAACAGATGTGGACAGAGAACAGGGCTGGGGTGGTGAGCCATCTGGGACCCAGAGAGCTCTGGCTTATTCCAACAGAGCCACCCATCAGGAGGGGACATGCAGTGGGGGCAGCAGCATGGCTGCATAGGGGCACCAAGGATGAGAGGCCTGAGACAGGCATGCCTGCAGGATCACTCTGCCTGTTACAGAGCTGTTCTGCCTCCCATCTATATGGAGGGTTTTTTCCCCTCTGATGTTCTGTTGTGGAAAATGCAGGAGCAAGCTTTGGACTAGAAGTAAAAATGCCCCACATCTGGCATTTGGGTACACAAGTTCAGCTCCTCACCATGACTCCCACTTGCAGCTTCTCAACAGTGCAGACCCGGGAGGCAGCAGACAATGGCTCCTGTGGGAGAGCACAATGGAATCCCCAGCTCCTGTCGCTGGCCCTGGCCCCGCCTCCGATGTCAAAGTCATCTGGGGACTGAGTTAGCAATTGGGAACCTCTCCTTCTCTCTCTCCCTGTCCACCTGCTTCCCTCCCAAGTATTTTTTAAATCTTCAACATGTAGGGACGGTGAAGAGTTCGACAGTGAGCACCAGCCACTGCCCCCTCACCTCTCTCTCCTTGAACCCATCTGATCTTTCTGATACACTGCAGAATAAGATGCAGGCACCAGTAATACGCTTTGTTACTGAGTTTTTCATAATCAAAAGCAGTGCAGATGCCAACATTCAAACAGTGTCGGAGTGCATGACAAGAAGCTCCCGTGAGCCCTTATTCCCCCACCCCGTTGCGGAAGTGTGTGTCGTGCACACCTCTCCATGCCTGCACACACGTCTCACCCCTGCATGTGCAATATGTCACGCTTTACAACCATGAGTTTAGGCCCTTCGTGGCAATCAGGCACTTACCTCCATGGAATCTGAGGTGACCACGCCAGCGGCCAACTACACATTGTCCCATTTTTTCTGTTTGTGTCTCAGTTTATGGCGGGCCCTGGGGTTAGCCAGACGGTAACAGACACAGAAGAGGAACACAGCTTGTCTTGCTGGCCAGGAAGCTACAGTGACTTCCTTAGCAACTCAGGCACACAGAGACTAAAGCAGGAAATCCATTCAGATCTCAGCACATGTCACAGGTGGCAGGTGGTACTGCGGAGCCTGGCCTGCTCTAAGCCCTCCTTCCTTCACTTATACACCACTCTGGTGTTTCCCTGTGGGTCTGGAGAGTTTCCGAGTATCCCTCTGCCCAATCACCTTTTTGTTTGTTTGTTTGTTTGTTTTAAAGATTCATTTCTAAAAAGATTTATTTATTTTTATTGGAAAGTCAGACATACAGAGAGGAGGACAGACAGAGGAAGATCTTCTGTCCAATGATTCACTCCCCAAGAGGCCACAGCGGCCGGAGCTGAGCCCAGCCAAAGCCAGGAGCCACGAGCCAGGAGCTTCTTCTGGGTCTCCCATGTGGCTGTAAGGTCCCAAGGCTTTGGGCTGTCCTTGACTGCTTTCCCAGGCCACAAGCAGGGAGCTGGAGGGAAAGTGGAGCAGCTGGCACACCAACCAGCACCCACACAGGATACCAGTGAATGCAAGGCAAGGACTTTGGGCACTTTCATTTGTTTGTTATTAAGATTTATTTTTATTTATTTGAGAGGTAATGTTACAGTGGGGAGAAACACACACAAGTGTCTTCCATCTGTTGATTCGCTCCTTAAATAGCCATAGCAGGGCCCAGCGCGTTGGCCTAGCAGCTAAAGTCCTCTCCTTAAAAGTGCTGGGATCTCACTTGGGCACCGGTTCTAATCCTGGCAGCTCCACTTTGCATCAGCTCCCTGCTGGACTCATGAGTGGTTACCTGTCATGTCTGGTTTCTGTCTCATTGTTTCCATTTCTTTCCTGCACCATGCTATGTTGTATGAACAGAGTTGCCCTCTAGACCCAGCCGACAGAGGATAGACACTGGGTTCTAAACGTGTTTGGGCCTTTATGAATTGTGCTACTGGAAATAGTCTGAAAAGGACTTCTCACTGCTGCTGCCACCTCCAGGACCCGTCTTTGCGCCTTGTTCATCCTCGGTCTCCTGGGCCTTTGGTTAATCCCATCGTGTCTCCAGGCACTTGATCTGTAACACAGATGTCAGATCTCCACTGTGAGATTCCTAAAAATAAGGTCAAGGTGCCCCTCAGACTTGCGTGTTCCCAAGGAGTCCCATCCGGCTCGTGGACCTGCTTGCCTGTCAGTCACTGAGCCCCTTGCCCCGCTGTGTTCCCCTGCAGATGACGTGCTGACGAAAGATGCAGGGGAGTGTGTGATCTGCCTGGAAGAGCTGCTTCAGGGGGACACGATAGCCAGGCTGCCCTGCCTGTGCATCTACCACAAAAGGTAGGAGGGTCCAGAAGGGCCAGATCAGCTACCATCCTGTCCACTTCTGTTGTGTAACAGCTCCTGCCATGCCCGTAGGAGGGTGGGAGCGTCCCCGTCAGCCTCCAGAAGGGGCTCTCTACGTGACAGTGAGAATGAAGGTGCCACAGCTCCAGGCTGCTGGCCGGTGCGTGCTCTGGGATCCCCTCAGCCTCACCTGCAAATGAGATGTGGCGTGGCAGGTGTGTTCACTGCCCTGCACTCCCCCCATCTCCCCGACGCCCAGCATCAGGAAGAGCTGCCACTCATGCATGGGTTCAGGGCGCAAGAGCTGCTCCAGTGAGTGGGACTGAGATGCGTGCTGGGCTCCAGGAGCCTTGTTCTCATTCCCCACTGGAAAGCAGACCCCTCCTGGCCAAGCCTGGAGGACACTGCATGCCTGTGGCCTGCTGCTCTGCAGCCCCTTGCACCCAGAGCTCTTTCCTGAAGCTCAGGCTTTTTGCAGACCTGCCTCAGGGTCATGGGGTGCCAGGGTGGCAGCCCTGCCTGGCACAGTTGTGACTGGTATAGAGTGGGCTCCCAGTCAACCAGAGTGAGGGGCTGTCATTCTGGGTACATTTCCCAGCACAGAGCCCTACAGCCAGAAGTTTCTAGAAAAGGAAACCTCTGGCACTTTGGGTGGTTTCAGCATGTTGTCTGCCCAGTTCCTGCTTTGGAGACATCTAAACATTGGCTTACGAATCGGGAAGCTGTCTCAAGTCTCAGGCAGTCTCTATTCCTCTTTCGCACAGACCCTGAAGGCGGCCTTGCTGTCAGCCTTGCTCCCGGGATGGCTTTGCTGGCGAAGGCCCAGCTCCTCTTCCCCTCTTTTCTGAGAAGGACTGAGTGCAGAGTTCAAGCCAGGCAGCACTTGGGGTGCTCTCCTGACAGGTCAGCTGACCCAGGAGCCCCAAGCTGCCCAGAGCTGTGGCCTACGAGGTCCACCTACTCTCGCCTTCCCACTGGCTGTGTTGCTGTCCCTGCTGTCCCCCTCCCCGACTATAGCCACTCTCCCGGCTCCGCCTCGCAGTGCTCAAAGCCCCTCCATTGCTGACAGGCTGGCTGCTGCTTCAGAGATAGATCAGGGTGGGATTGTTCTTCCCCAAGACCCTTTCAGGGCACTTTAGGGGCAGTGACCCCAGGGAAGGGGCTGTCTGGCCAGGGGCTAACGTGCTTTCCTCTGCTGCCCCAACCCCAGCTGCATAGATTCGTGGTTTGAGGTGAACAGATCTTGTCCAGAACACCCTGCGGACTGACCCTACCGGGTTTGCTTGCCGACTCCTCTCAAAGGTGAGCCTGTGAGGGGGGTGCTTCTAGCTCCAGGCTCAGGGTCACAACTCCAGAGGGGGCTTCGGGGGTGGGGGAAGCTGGGCCGTCCTCAGACACCCCACCGAGAAGACAGTGGGAACAGAGGCAAGCTGGGAGCATCTCACCCATCAGTGGTTGTCCGGAGGCAGGGGTGCTTTTCCTTGCGGGGAACGGTGAGGTGTGGAAATGCCGTGTGGGTAATTAGCAAGTTCTGGGCAGTGAGTAGGGCAAAGGGAATCTCAAGCAGCGGGGATCAATCTCCCTGCAGAAAGCTCTGGAAGATCCCCAGGAGGGTGGCGCCATGTCCATACCCAGCTCCGCCCAGCCCTCATACCTCTCCTGGAGTCCCCACTTCTCTGGTAACGGGGGGCTAACTGCCCTCCTGCCACCCTGGGGATATGTTGCCTGTCAGCTACTGGTTCTGGCACCTACAGGGCACCTCTCTTACCTAGCACACCGCTTATGGGTGCCTCTGAGGCCACCAGCCCAGACCTGACCCCTGTGCCTTCCCGGGTCCCCACCAACAGACAAACAAAAGCCCCCCCTCACTGCACTCCCACCTAAAGGTTCGGGGGCCTCTTTTTTCCCTTCTCCTTTTCTCTCTCCTGTTTTTGTTTTGTTTTCTGTTGTTAGGTTTATTTTATTTATTCCAAGTAACCTCCCAGAACAGATGATGATGTCAGACAAATCAGGGACATTTGCTCTTTTTACCTTCACCTCAAAAACCAATGACATGGGGAGAAGAAAAAGCCAGGGAGAGGGAGCGGAGGCCAGCCCCGGAGCACAGGTCCAGATTCCGGCATGATGTTTGGCCTTGGGGGTCCCTGCGCAGCTGGACCCTGGCGGGACGCAGCGTCCAGCCCACAGCCAGACGGAGCACGACTCACTCCTTGCGGTCCACACAGGGACAGCAGCCCCTGTCCCCGAGAGGAGGCTCACCGGACACGGGCAGAGCTGAACTTGGGACACCAGTGGGGACAGGGCACACCTTCCGCACCGACTTCCAGGAAGCGGCTCTCCCTCCCTCCCCGAGGACACCAGAAGGGATGAGAGTGCGTCCGAGAGAAGAGCGAATCCACCGCGATCCCTGCCCGCAGCCTGCAGCCTGCAGCCCTCGGCCAGGAGGGCAAAGGGCCTTTTCTTTTTCACCTTTGAAAGGCATTGTGGGTCTGTCTTTAAAGTGTTTACAAAAAAAAAATTATTTAAAAAAAAATAAGTCTAGTGTCTCCTGGTGTTTCCCCTCGTGATGTTTACAGAAGGCTGTGTGCTGGCCAGCTGCAAGCTGCTCGGTGAGAGAAAGGGCCCGGCCTGGCCTCCTCGCCAGTGCTGGCGGCCCGAGCACCAGGCCTCTCCGCTGGCCCCGGCCAGCATCACCCTCTCACCTGCCGCTGCTTCCCATTTTTTTCCGGCTTGGTTTTGCACTTTTTTCCTCTTGGGACCCCAAAATCTTTACTTCATTGCCAAACAACAACAATAACACAAACCCCCACCAAGGACTCCGGTCCCACCTTACACCATTTCTTTTCTTCCTCTCCTCCCGGCTCCGGTCAGTTGGGAGCTTTAAGGATCACAAGTGTCTTGCAAAAATGCCTGAACGTTTTTCTTGTGCCCTTGTGGATTTTCTTTTTCCAGGAAACTTAGAGACTTGAATAAAGAAACAACAGTACAAGCAGCTGTGTTATCAGGCACTCCATTGGAGAACACTTAGCCCTTGGCGTTCACACATGGCGTCGGCCCATGCCAGATAGGTTTCTGTATTTATATATTAAAATTTAAAAAACAAAACAAACAGAAAATTTAAAAAATGTTTAAAAAAATTGTTCCGAGCTTGGGAGAGAAGCTTTCTTCATTAGTTGAGGTGTTTTGATATGGTATTAAAATAATGTCTAATGAAAGATGCACTGTGTGGATTTATTTGAATGAAGCATTGTTAACACTGTCCAGGAATGGGGCAGAGGCTGATCTCCCGCTCCCGCCTGCACCTCCCTCCTGAGCATCCCTTCCGGCTCCCCCGTGGGGCTGCAGGTGTGGCACATAGCTCTCCCGGGGCTGGAGGAGCCAGGGTGAGCATAGGTCAGCCGCAGGAGCCGAATGACCCTCGGAAGTAAGCACCACGCAGCCAGCTTGCTGCCATCGTAGTGGCTGTGGAGAGGTGCCACCAGGAAGATGTGCGGGGCCACTGGCCTCACAGCCACCTGCCACCCCATCCCAAGTCCCACAGCCCTGCCTGTTGCTGTCTGCATCTCCGTGCTGACTCACGGGCCTGCTCCATCGGGGCCCAGGAAGAGGCCCGGGTTTGGGGCCCAGCCAGCTCAGAGCCCTTGAACCAGAACCAGCCGCTCCAGCTCACAAAAATTGGCAGTGCCAGCGGGAACTTCAGGGGAGGGGAGGGGCAGAAGCGCATGCCTGGCCCCGTCTCTGGCCAGACAGGCTCCCAGGGGGCATTCCAGGGCCTCCTTCACAGCCTGCGAAGGAAAGCTCTGGAGGGAGGTGACTCCACACATTCGTTACCGTGTTCTTGCTAGACCTGCCCTTTGAGCTGAGGGCTCAGGGTGCCACCAGGTCCAAGGGTCTAGGCCATCCCTGCTGCACTGGTCTCTGGCTCCACAGTCATCTCCCTCAGATGCTTCCTGAAGTACCTGGCGTGTGCAAGGGCCTTCACCCCACAACAGCAGGCATGCATGAGCCAAGGCAGACAGGCAAGCACACAGCATCTGAGAAATACTGAAGTTCAAGGGGCTCAGCCTCCAGCTCACATCAGCCCACAACAGAAAGCCCAGGCTCTGTTGACGCCGTCATGAGAAGGGATGGCAAGAATGTGGGCTCCGAGAGGTTGCATCTGGGCTCCTACTTCCCTGCAAGAATGACCTGGGAAAAAGGACTTGATTCATCTGAACTTTGGCATCATGACACGTGAAGCAAAGACAACAGCACGCAGCCCAGCAGAACCCCAAGGGTCGGGGCACCTGCCCTGAAGGCCTAGCACTTGCACAGTAGGCTCCCTGGTGGCTCTGTCACCGCAAAGGGCACCGTTCTATTCACAGCACCTCTCGCTTCTGCCTGGCAACTGTGTCTCCCTGTTCTATATTTAATTCCACCAGCAAAGCTGGCGGGGCAGGGCCCAGCTCTGAAGATCTCCTTGCCTGACCCCTGGACCCGGAGACAGAGACCATGCACACACCCACCTTGGAGGCTGTTGGTTCAAGCCCGGCCACTATGGCAGAGCCACCAGTGACCGAGTGGCTGTTGAATTGTGTGGGGCAAGGCCGTGGCCCACACTGGGTGCTAATCCAGGCTTTTGGGGGCTGGTGCTCATCCTCCCAATCCCCACCCCCGCTGACTTCTGCTCCCGCCTGGCACAGTGCAGCCCTCTGCTGGCTGTCACGTCCTCTGAACTTGACCCAGGGTGGGACTGGCTGTCTGGGCTGGTGCTTCTCCCTCCTCCTCCTGCTCCCCACCCCCCACAAGGCTCCCTATACTGTTCCTGCCCTGCCCTTCTAGGGGAAGATGACTTGGTGGAGCGGGCAGATGTCTGCAAGGGCCCAGCTCGCTTTTCTGGGGTTCCTGGACAGGAACTCCTCACTGAGACCATACATCTAATAGCCATTTAACTGCTGTTGGGGTTTATAGGAGAATGTCCTTATTCTTAGGAGATGGATGCTGAATTATATAGGCGAATGATTTTAAGAAACATGTAATCAAATTCTGAATGATTTTCCCTACCCCCTTGCAAAGAAAAGTACACACACAAAGCAAATAAGGCAAAATATTCATTGTTTGAATTTGCAGTGGCTGCTTGTTTCCGTGAATGGTGTACTTGTTCTTTCAACTTTTCTGTATGTTTGGAATTTTTCTTAATTAAAGAAAATGAATTTATGGAAAAATGATTATTTGCTGAGTGCCTATCAGCTGCCAGGCCTCCAGAGGGTGCATCGTGGAAGAGACTGCCCCTGCAGAACCACCACCACCACACCAGAGGGGCCCCACAGTTGGATTGCTCAGGTGCTGGATCGGTCAAAGGAGGAGGGCCAGCAAGACTGGCCACCAGACCGCTCCTCCCCCATGGTATAGCCTCCGCTCACCCCTAGGGCAGCCAGAGGACAAATGTCACAGGAGTGTGTCCATAAGGCTCCATTCTGCGTCACTGCTGCTGGGAGAGACCCATGTTGACACAGGGAAGGAGAGGGTTCTGAGGATTGAGGGGTTGTGGGGCTGCTCCCTCAACCCAGGGCCTAAAAATTTGCTGGGATAGATGAGGGCTTTGTGGGTGGGTCCCCAAGAAGCTCAGAGATGAGTTGTTGCAAAGTCCCTTAGCAAGCCCGAGGCACAGGGGTGAGGGAGATGGGATTGGCACCATCAGCTCCGGGAGGTGTCAGAGATTTTTCCAAGCCTTCATCCCAGTGGTTGGCTGAGAACCACCTGAACAAGGGGTGGATTCCAGACAGCAGGTGTCCAGAGCAGAGGTTGGTGGGGATGAAGTTTATGGTGTCGGGCGCCCTCTTGTGGGTTTAGGAAGGAACAACTACCAAGTATGGGAGATGAGCTCTGGCCAATAGGATCCACAGATGGGCCCAGAGGTAGGTAAAATGACTTTGAGGGCACAAATGCTGGAGTTGCCAGGACACCACACCATGAGGAGTGTTGTCAAGTTCCAGCAACTGCTTGAAGAATATACTCACAATATCCTCAGGCCCTGTGTTGGACTCTGTAGCAAAATATCAGCGGGAAGACAGGGAACTGACTTGCTGGCAACCCGGTTCTGGCCCCAGGCTGCAGTAAGTGAGCAAATAGTCTAAAGTCATGGTGGTGCTGGGCTGGCCAGAATGGGAAGGCAAAGTGGGGATGGGGCTGCCACCTGCTGATGTCAGGTAGCAGGCAACCTATCAACAAATTCTTTCCTGTCCCAGGAAAGGGGTCCTGGTTCTCTGGATGTGGGAGTGCTTGGGAGCAGTAGCTGGCCTCATCCTAGGCCTGGAATGCACTCTGACACCCAGGAAGGGACTGTGGCAGCGGGAAACAAATGGCTTCATTAGTGTTTGCTGGACCAAAGGTTCTTTCCTTGCAAAGTCAGCTACATGAATGAAGTTTCTAGAAGGTAGGGGCTCTGAAGTCAAGGCAGTAAGGGGAGGAAGGTCTGCAGGGCCACTCACAGCACCTTGCCTGGGTTCATAAGGCCTTGAGGATCCAATGCAGCCTTCAGCTGCCGCATGGTCTCCACGCCCACCACGCCCACCTCCTCCTGCAGTAGCTGCCGCTTGCCCAATCCAATCCCATGCTCCCCTGTGCAAGTTCCGTGGAGTGCCAGAGCACGCCTGAAAGGCCAAGGGGGACACCCTCAGCCCTCTGGCCCAAGCTTTCCCTACCCCCACTACCCCCTACCCCGGACTGGGCACCCACCTGCCCAGATCCTCAGCAAAAGCCTTGACCCTATGGAGCTCCTCAGAATCCTCCGGGTTGACCAGCAGGATGCAGTGGAAATTGCCATCACCCACATGCCCCACAATGGTTCCTGGGGGCTCAAAGAACACAGCTGTCAATGCTGCCAGCCCAGCCCTCATGCCATCTGCCTTTCCTCTGCCCTGCCCCGCCCTAGGCACCCCTCCTCTTAAACCTGAACAGGCAGAACCTGTGAGTCCTGAGGCCTTCAGCTCCTCCTTTGTCTGCACCAGGATCTCTGGCAGCCGGGAAATGGGTACACAGACATCCGTGGAGTAGCCCTGGGTTAGAGGGCCAGCCGGTGAGGCCCCCGTCAGCCCCCACCTGCCCCTAGGCCCTGGCAGTTCGTCCAGGTGTGTTCCCCAGGCCTTGGGTTCCCACCACTCCATCCTGGCACTTTGGCCTAGGCCAGCTCCCAAGGGTTTAACATGTGTCAGTGAGTTAGTCTGTCTCCCCACCCCCATTCCACCCTCCAAGTACTGGTTACTTGTTCAGCTAGGCCCTGCCCACTATGGCTGGATGCTGGATTGCAAAGTAGGAGGGCCAAGCCGCAGGGTCACACCTCCACCCCCTCTCACCTTACAGCCAGGCCGCAGGGCCAAGGCCGCGTACCAGGCGTTGTGCCGTGCCGCCCAGAGCCGGCTACGCTGCTCGGCTTCGCTGGCCCAGGAGAAGTGAGCGGCTCCGTTGTGCTGGGCGATCTCTTCTGCAGCAATGGTGAGGGTGGAAGAGGGCTGGCAGCAGCCCGATGTGGGGCAGGTCAGGCCCCTGGCCCTCCCCTCCCTTCCCCTCTAGCACACCTGCGCGCTGCACTTGTTCAGCCAGTGCCTGTTCGGAGCCGTGGAACTCCAGAAAGAGCGTGGGCGCCACGGGACAGTGGAGTTGGCTGTGCCTGTTGCAGGCATCCATCATGACGTCATCCAGGAACTCTAGGAGCAGAGAGAGGGCCAAACCAGGTAAGCCCAGGCTGTCAGATGGGGTCTCTTCCAGAGAGCACATCCTGATCACGCCCAGGAGCTCACCGATACGGGCCACGGGCACCGCAGCCTGGAGAATCTGAACGGTGCAGTCCACTGCAGCCTGGACACTGGGGAACGCACAGGTAGCGGCCACCGTAGCCTCAGGTGCAGGGTGCAGGCGCAGGGTGGCGGCTGTGATGAGCCCCAGGGTCCCCTCAGAACCCACGAAGAGACCGGTGAGGTTGTAGCCAGCTGCAGACTTCCTGTGTGTAGAGAGGGAGTTCTGTCCAGCATCTGGAATTGGGGGGGATCAAGAGGGGTGCACCGTCCCCCGGCTGGGACTGGCTCAGAGTCAGGCGGGGCACAGCAGGCGCTCACCGGAAGTGGCGGCCCTGGCCTGCGGTATGAAGCAGCCGTCCATCGGGCAGCACCACCTCCAGGTTGAGCACATTGTCCCGCATGGTGCCATAGCGCACAGCGTTGGTGCCCGAGGCCCCTGTGGCCGCCATGCCACAAAGAGAGGCGTCCGCACCCGGATCTGGGGGTGCACAGCGGAGAAGGGCAGTTCAGGTCCCCCATGAGAGAGGTGGGGACAGGGCGAGGGAGTGTCCTGAAGATCCACATCAGTTCTGCCTCCCAGCATGGGGTGGGGGTTGGTCAGCCCCACACCTACCCACGGGAAACCAGAGGCCACTGTCGCGTAGCTGCTTGTTGAGAGCTTTGCGCGTGACACCAGGCTCCACCACCACAGAGAAGTCCTCGGGGTTCAGCTCCAGGATCCGGTCCATGCGCGTCAGGTTAATGCAGACCCCGCCCTGGAGGGAGGTGCCCGGCGTGAGGGGGGCCATCCCACCTTGGTCACCCACCACCCTGCCACATCCCCGCACCGCCCTGAGTCCCAGCCTGGCTCAGCCCCAACAGCCAGGCCAGGCTGCAAACGGTGAAGGAGGCAGCCACACGGGTGCCAAATCACCTCCTGCCCTCCGGTGGAGAAGGTGGGGGTGAGGAGGGGCAAGGGGTATGCCACCATACCTGCGTGGCACAGACGCCCCCTTCAAGGCCGGTGCCGGTGCCAAAGGGGATGATAGGCACGCCCTGGCCATAGCACAGCGCCGCCAACCTGCTGACCTGCTCAGCGCTCTGGGGCCACACCACAGCATCCGGGGGCTGGCACCTGCAAGTGGGCCATGGGCAGGGTCAGCTCGCCCTGCAAGACCTCGCAAGCGGCCAAGGGCCGAGGACACCGTCTCAGAGTGGACAAAGTCAGGGCACCCGAAGCAGGTGCAGGGGCTGGAGGGAAGGGGCGAGGAGAGACCCCCTGCTAGCCTCCCCCCACCTCACCGGTGCATGGATTCATCACGCCCGTGCTGCTCCCGCACCACAGCGGCAGTGGACACGTGCGGGCTCCCCACCACCGCCTTCAGGGCCTCCACGAAGCCCTCGCTGAGCATGCCCTGTTGAGAGAGAAATGCGTCGCCAAGGACAACCCTGGCCACAGGCCAGCCCTGGTCGCAGGCGGGAGGGGACAGGGCTGCCCGGGGGGCTCGAGAACCCGGGCCTCTCTCCCATCCTGCCCTACCTGTGTCCCCTGGGAGCTGTACCCCCTCCAGAGGGGCAGCCCCGAGAGGGCCACCCGGAGCAGGCGGGCCATAACTACACAGCTACACCAGCAGGTGAATGGCCTCGGGCACCGCGGCCCAGCCCATTGGCTGAGCCGGAGGTGGAGCCTGCTTAAGGTAGCCCCGGCTTAAGGCGGCCCGAGTCGGGGGCGGGACCTGTGGGTGTCCTCCGAAGGAGAGGTGGGCTCAGCAGACACCTTGGGGAACAGGCACAGCAGCCACTCTTAGGCTGAGGACTCCTCCATGGCCCTAGGGCAAATGGACTCCTGGGAGAGGATTAGCAGTCCCCGCTTCTCCCATTACCTCTGTTTTCAAGCTGCAGCTTCCATTCTTGTGCCTTTGTGCCATCCAACTCCAGTCAGGACGCCTCCAGGCCCCCCAGGTGGCCTTGTCACATGCTGTGGCCTCCTGCGCCTGAACCACCTGCAGACTGGCCAGCGTCCCAGTTTGTCACCTCCCTGCAGATCTCAGTCAGTACAATGCCACTGTCAGGGAGGTCCACCAATCAAAGAGGATGCAAAGAAGGACACTGTGGGGTGTGGTAAGGCCGTGGGACAAGCCAGGAAGGCTTCCTAGAAGAGGAGTAGTGAGGATGAGCCGTTTCCCAGGTAGGTAAAGGAAAAGACTAGAGTCTTTGCAGTCCCCACCATATCCACCCCCTTCCAGGGTACACCACCACCACCAGCAGCTGCAGCAGCTGGGAAGGGCCCAGGACACAGTGCCAGCACCTAGCCTCTATTTCCCTCCCAATGAAGTCAGGAAGAAAACCCCTCCCTTGTCCTGCTGGGTTCTTCAACAGCAAGACTTTAAAAAAAAAAAAAAAAAGATTTATTT